TAGATATTGTTCCTTGTCTTATGCATAGTCTCACTTGTCTTGAGAACTGTGTGTATTACATCAATCGGTTTGTATGCATGGGTGGGTGTCCCTGTGGGTGTGTGTGCAAGCCAGAGGTCAACTTCAGATACTGTTCCTCAAAAACCAACTTCCTTTGATGATGATGTTGTTGTTTTGTTGTTAGTGGTAGTGATGATGTGCGTGCACTTCCGTGTGTAGGGGTTTCTTTTTTTCTTTAGTTTTTTTAGAAAGGGTTTGTTATCATCTAAGCAAACGAAAACGTGGTCCCACCCCTTGGGGACCTGGCATGCATGGTATGTGGTACCCTGTACACAGGTGCAAAGGTCCCTTAAGAGACAAACTCCGCCCACTTTCTCTCTCTCTCTCTCTCTCTCTCTCTCTCTCTCTCTCTCTCTCTCTCTCTCTCTGCCTGTCTCTCTCTCCCTCTCTCCATTCTCCCCTCACTCCTCTCCCTTCTCAATAAACTTTCTTTCCATGTAAGTCCTACCTGATATGGAGTATTTGTCTCTCAGCTGCCATGGGACCCTGCTAAAGTCCCCCTTGCTCCATATTCATAACAGGTTTTTCTGTGTAGCCCTGGCTGTCCTGGAACTCACTTTGTAGACAGGTGGGTCTGGAATTCACAGAGATCTGCCTGCCTCTGCCTCCTGAGTGCTGGTGTATGGAGTTTTCAAAACACTTTTTTCACCAAGCTGTCTCCTTAGCCCCAAAGTCAGTTTAGTACTTTATAATTTAAAAAACACACACACACACACACTTCAGCAATCTAAAACAGGCTTTCAAATTGTACTGCAAGTCTATTCACTTCTTATTTCATGCAGTGTTTGTCACTTCTGTTGACAGTGTTGTCATTCTTTACTAGCAATAAAAACAAAACAATTTAAAACTGTCTTCCAGTTATCTGAAAATATCTTTGCTACATGAAATAATTAATGTAACTCAAACAATGGATTGTGGACTCATCTTTTCACAGAAACCAGTTCTTTTTTTTCTTGAAGTTCATAATTGTGTGCAACAGTACCTAAAACTGTTCCTTCTCTTGCATGCTGTGAGATAGCAGAGTGGCATGACCATGAGCCACATCCAGTCAGGAAGACAGAAGAGCTGCTATTGATATACACATTAAGAAAGATGTTTGGGCAACTGTCACATGCAGCACTTCTCTCCATAATACCACTTTCCATCCACACCTGCAGTCAATAACTGTATATCTGTATTTATAGTGCGTGCGTGCGTGCGTGCGTGTGTGTGTGTGTGTGTGTGTGTGTGTGTGTCAGTAAAGTCCACTCACTTTGAGAAGTGTCCGATTGTTGCTGACAGGATGTTTGCAAAGTCAGTGATAGCACATGCCATCCACGTGATTAATTTCTGCTGGCTCTACTCTCTAGTTTAGTCTCATAAACCAGTTATTCATGCTCAGAAGTTCACAATCCCTAGATAGTTTGGGGATTCTCATTTTTGACTCAAACTATTCCACTCATTTAATAAAATGAATGGATTCTCTTCCATAAACAAAAAGGAAAACCTTTTAAAAAGTCTTATACTTTTAATCTTTTAAAACAAATTAAGTCCTTTAAAAGGATGCCTTAGTTGATTCTTCTTGCCAGTAATATGTTATTTTAAATTTATCTTTTTCCTTTCACCCTTTACTTTAAAAGACGACTCTTAGTCCTTGGAATTAGATGACTTTAATGTGATTTATACTGCAGTGTTAAAATATGTGCAAGTGAAAATTTAAATGTGTCTTTAACTATCTTATTTTCAAATTAATCACCTGTTGTATACAGTGAAGACACCAACATCATATTACTGACTTTGATCCCATGATAAAATGCTGATTCTGTATATTGATGTAATTATTTACCTTTAAAGCCAAGTGAAAATGTATGACCTTTAACACTTTTAAATATTCTTTATCCTTTCAGTTGCATTCCATTTAAACCATGGATCCATATGCTATGCTCAGTAGCAGAGCAAGATCCTATGTGTTTCCAGCCAGCAGCAAACTAAAGCAATAATTATAACTATATGCCTGGCATTTTTGCAGTACCCTAGTATTGAAGATGCTTACATAGGCAACACAATAGCCCCTTTATCAGGAAACTCTCAGTTGATTAAGATTATGGAAACACATTGGTAATAGGTCTAAAAATCTTTATTACTTATCGTTTTTCCTGAGTATTATTTTAATTAGCTTTCTCAAAACTTAGTAAAGTTTAATTGTTGGAAAAACCGAATCTTGGTGGTAAGATTATAAAGCTGGTAGCAGCACCATTCCTGGTTTTCACTTGCCTGCTCTGTACATCTACACCATAGGGAACTTCTGCATGCTATGCTTTTGAAGGCTTAAAATGGGTAATCTTCATCCTTTGGGTCAAAGTATTAGAAGATTTTGAGAGTAACCAAGATATAAAAAAGCAAGAGTACAATTTTAGACTATGTCTGTTTAGACCCATCATCATATACTTCTATAAAAATTTGTATGTTTAAAAAAATGGCTACGCTTTATTTTAAACATCATGTATTAACTTATTTGCTGTTGTCCTTTAACTGTCTCTGTAAAAATAATTGTGTACCCTGTTAGTTTTTTTTAAGTCAGGCTACTTAATTTTAATTCAGTTAAAATTTAAATTTCTCCAAGTGGTGGTGGTGAATATTGTTAATCCCAGCACTCACGAGACAAAGTCAGACCATCTCTGTGAATTTTAGGCCAGCCTGGTCTACAAATTGAGTTCCAGGACTGCCAGGGCTGTTATGCAGAGAAACTTTGTGTTGAAAAACCAAACCAACCAACCAAGCAAACAACAAATTTAAATTTCTGGGATTAAGATTGCAGTGAGGTCTAATTTTGGAGTGAATATTAAAACCCAGTGTTACAATTTACATATTCAAAAGCACATCTAAAATATTTGATGATATGCCCTTGCATGAAAGATATAGAAAAGCCTTAGAGACCATTCACTGTCATTATTAGCACAACAAATTATATGTAAACAAGCAGAATTAAACAGGTGGCAGCAATGCATATGTATTTAATATATGTTATTGATATTCCCCCACACTGGTCACATGTAAATGTCTGCAGTGTTTTTCAATACTGTCAACATGTGAAGGCCTCCATGCACTCACTACCCTCACTTGAACAGCTGCACTGTCCAGGGCAACTGCATATTGGAAAGCATGTGCATAGGCATGTAAAAGTTGCACTTCTCATTCCAGTCTCTTCTTAAAAACACTTAAAACTGTTATTTAAAGGGACCTTAAGCAAATCATAGCAATATGTGTTTTCCTTGATATTTAAACTAGTAATCCTGTCTGATCCTGTTGTACTTTAAGAAAAGCAGTGCTTGAGAGAAAGAAGTAGTGCTTGAGAGAAAGACGCCATGTGACAGGGCTCAAGCAGATTTTTTTTAACTGGGGAAAGGGATCATAAAAAGGGGAAGGGGGAGATGACTCTGGAGACAGGAGCAGCAGGAGAGAGGAAGGGGGAAGAAAAGAGGGGGAACAGGCAGAGAGAGGGAGAGAAGGAGAAAGAGAGATGAGAAGTGAGTTCCTTTTAAAAAGGAACTTAGTGAATACACATAGTAGCTAGCTGTAGCTGAGGGCATATCCTGCCAGAACCCCAAAGATAGGCCAGTACAAATGCTTAAATGCTAACAGATCCTTCAGTCAACAATTATACTGTATGTCATGAAAGCTGTATTTATTTTATTATTGAATGTTTAGAATTTCTTGGCACTCGGTTGTGCTTGAGGGCATCATAGTTTAGACAAGGAATGATTGTTGGTGAACATTGATGTTGTCAGGGTGATATCAGGGGATACTGACTGGACTGCTGCACTAGTTCTTTAGTACATTAAAAGCCTCTTGTAAGCACGTGTGACTAAACTGATAAACTGATGACCGCCAAGTGCCTGCTCTTTACATTGTTAGACAATGCTCGTGTGTGTGTGTGTGTGTTCAGCACATATATGCATATTTCTGTGACAAACATTTTAAAATGTTTATTTTTGAGATTATAATTACATTTTTCCCTTTGCTTTTCTCCTTCCAAATCCTCCCATATTCCCCTACCCACCCTCCTTCAAATTCATGGCCTCTTTTTTCACTGTTATATATTCCTAAATATAACAACCATGAGTCTTTATAATGTTACTGGTATAAAAATGAATAAGTTAGGATTCCTATTGCTTTGAAGAGATACCATGACCACAGCAACTTTTATAAAGGAAAATATTTAATTGGGACTGGCTTACAGTTTCAGATGTTTAGTCCATTATCATAATGGTGGCATGAAGGCTGGCATAGTGCTAAAGAGGTAGCTGAGAGTTCTCCATCTTGATTCACTGGTAACAGGAAGTGAACTGTGCCCCACATTGGGCATAGCTTGAGCATATGAGACCTCAAAGCCCACCTTCTCAGTGACACACCTCCTCTAACAAGGTCATACCTACTCCAACATGGCCATGCCTTCCAAGGGTGCCACTCTCTATAGACCAAGAATTCAAATACAGGAATTTTTTGGGCTTTCATGTCAATTCCAGCTCAGGGGTCTCTTGACCCTGTGTCTGAAGTGCATTGTATCTTCAGCAGTAGGCTTCATTCACCTTTGGGGCAATGAAAGGCAATTACAATAGACTGTGTGTTCTGGGAGTCTCTTGCTCAGCCCTAACCAACAATTCAAAAGATGGGTTCTCATGACAGGTATTGTGGATTTTGTTATGTTGTCTTTGGCTCTTGGAGGGAACATTGTCAGCCTGCGTGAGTTCATTAAAGTTCAAAAACTATATATGTATGTTTATACACAGAATTACATGTATTATATGGTTTTCTATTAAATTGGTAATGGTATGACTCCTGTGGCTGTTATATACATCCTCATTTTTATTTTATCCATTTCCTTCATTATTCTGTATTTATAAGTATTTTAATGTTACAAAACATAAGAAAAATTAACATTTGAAACTTTTAAATTTCAGTTTATTGACGGTCGACTGGCAAAGCTTAATGCAGGAAGGGGTTTCTCTGATATATTTGAAGAAGAGATTACTTCTGGTGGCTTCTGTGGAGGTAAAGACAAATTTGAGTATGATTATCTATTTTTTAGACAACATCTGATTTTTGTGTCTGTCTCTGATATTTATATTTTTATAAACAATCATTTTCTCCTAAACACACAATGTTTTGTGTACAATTTCATCTTATATGAGCTCTTCTATGGGCTTATTTTTATGGACAAGGCAGGAAGGTTATATCATAACTTGATAGTTATTTGCTCTAAGAATCTCTTGGTATTGTTAAAAATAAGCAACAGAATTCCAGTTAATTTATATCCTCTACCCTTTCCCACCAAATAGTAGTTTTTCGCAGGAAGTGGTGACTGATGATTGTGACTAAGTCTGTGTTTGCAGCCGAGACTCTGGTTGACATAGTGAGGGCACTGCAGTGTGGTGCAGCAGGAAGTCCGGGGATTCCTCGGGCACACTTTCTGTTTCAGTAAGTCTTATATGGGAATCTTTACACTTTCTGGCCTGCAGACTTCAGCAGAGTTTTAAGTTTGCCATTCCAAAAATAGAATGCCCTCCAATTGTAAATATCCAGTGTTGTAATTATCTCAGCAAGAAATGATTTAAGAGTTGACATGTTGTCGGTGGATGTTGTACTGCATAGCCTGGCATGCAGAGAGCTTTCCATGAGTCCTCCAGTGTCTTGGAGATGCTTTCAAGTGGGATTGCTGCATACACTGCTCTCTGTTTGTGAGACCCAAGTGAACACACATCTTCTCTGTCTGTCTCTGTGTGTTTCTTTGACTTCGTTGTTGGTTTGCTGTGATAGCCATGTTTTTAGTCTGTTTGAATTAATAGTTACTAGAATTGAGAGGATAGAAAGTAATAAGTACATATCTTCAAGTTTCACTCCTTACTTGTGTCCTTAAATACCTACTGTCAGCCGTGAAGCGCAGAAATAAACGATGAAGAGAACCTGCTCATTCATAAGGGAGCAGATGAGCTTGGTGGCAAAGGCCATCTCCTGGCAGAAGTACAGCACCTCACGAGACTCACTGATCTTGGGGAAGTTTGTTTGTCTGACTCAGCAAGAGAGCTGACAGTGGGTTCATTCAGCTCCCTTTCCTCAGCTCATGGCAGAAATTTAGCTTCAATGGAACTTTTGTTGCAAAATGACGCCTTTTCACTTTTCAACTCAGACAAGCAAAATATTGTCAGCTTATGGACAAATTGCTTGAGGCATCTTCTCAGTTTTTACATAACTGCTGTCTCATTATCTTTATGACCCGTGGGGCTGGTAGCTTTTGTAGAATTGAAGATGACAACTTGTGACAGTAATGGGGTAGAGCTGCAATCCCTTTGTACACTTAAATTCTGTAGTAATAACTGCTGGTCCAGAAACTGGAGAAATAAAGGTGTGATAAAGGCTGCCGCTAGCAGATAAGGATAACTAATTCATTATTATTATTATTATTATTATCATTATTATTATTATTTTAACAAATTCATGGTGCTTAAGGAAAGGAGGCTAGTATGATCTTGGTCAGCATCTGACTTAATGATCTGCTTAATCCTGGTTGTTTATTGGTTTTTATTATAATTAAAATGATTTCCAGTTTCCACGTTCTAATCTGAGGGGCAGATGCATATCCAAAAGGAAAATCCATTTCCATAGTTATTAATTTGAGTGGACAAGAAAGAATTTTTAATAATTATTTCAGCCAAGTAAATTTATTTGTATTTTAAATCATACTAGACATGCATAGATGTTGCTCTTAGAAAAAATAAAGCTTGATTCATTAGGATTTGAAATAGGATAAACAATAGGAATTAGTAATTTTTTTTCTTTTTATTCGGTGTTGTTCAGCAAAAACATTTAACCCTTTTATAAAGCAACTCTATTTAACTTTTGTATTTAAGTTTATTTTAGGAATCATCTATGGTAGTGGGGTTTCCCTGTGGCCTTCCCAGAAGTCTTTTAGTGTTAGTTGCTGCTCCCCATGCTCCTTCTATCCTGCTCTCCAATTCATCCCCCATGTAACCCTCCCCTCTCCATAATTCCCTTCTCCCTCTTCTAGCTGCCTGTGTTCTAGCATCCTCCCTCCCATGACATCCAGCCCTTGCCATTTTCCTGACTTGTATTTCACAGCCCTAGCTTTCAGCAGCCCCTGTTCTTTAGAAGGCAATTGGAGGGAGTCCCTGCCTGGCTTGATCTATTGTTTTCTCATTAAGCAATCCTAGAGGTGGCGTTTCAGAGTTGAAAAAACAATGAACTAGGTTTTACACTACCTGACTCATAGTTTTGTTGGTTGCCAATGAAGCTACTCCTAGTGGTGTCATTCATGGGTAGTCCTACATTCTAGAGGTCTGGGCCACAACCAGAGACATCGTCCTTCTCATGATTTTGCATAGTTTACAGTAAAGAAATGCAGCTCTGACAACATACAGTAGGTGAAACTATAACTTGACCTATAAAGAGCTGAAAATGAACTTAACCTTAAATTTTAAGACATTCAACTTCCTCCTATAACCTCTGGGAGGTTTTACCACACCTGGTTTCTTTATAGTTGGTACTTTAGTATTTTTTTCTGGGTTGGCAATTATTCTTGAATCTTAAGTTGTTACCATACTATTCTGTTTTCCTTATGCTTTCTTGAATTCATTTTGGGGAAATAAACATCATACATTATAATTAAATAATATACAACTCCTAAATGAACACTTTCCATGCAGTCATTAGTGAGGAGGGAGTAGCAGATATATGAACTGATGAGAATATGTACCCACCTGTGATTCCAGCACTGGGAGGTAGAAGCAGGAGGACGGGGAGCCAGGGGCCCTTCTCAGTTTGCAATGACTTGGAGATCAGCTTGGGCTAGATGACACCCTGTCTCAAAAGTTATAAAAAAAAAGTAAAGATAATCTGGATGAAATATGTGCTTTTGTTGTTAATAAGTTAAAATTTATTTGAAAAATAAATTGGTAGGATAACTTGAAATTTTTAACACCATTTTACAAGGGAAATATATATATATATACATATGTATATATATATATATATATATATATATATCTGAATTTGTGGGGTCAAACCATGCTGTTGTTTGACTCTGGATTTTCTTCTCAATAAAAACAAACATACAGCAAGAGATCTTTATTACAATTTTTAATAAAAATAAATTAAAGGTTGTTCCTTGGTTTTAAGTTAGGGAGAGATTTGAAGGATAAAATTAATCTGGAACTAAACACTTTTCAGTGTACAATTTCTGTTAATGCTTCGAGAATAGCGAGATACTTTAGGCTGAGACCACAGTATCAGTTTGGGGCTAATGTCCCACTACATAGGCAGGTAGCTGTTCTAGCACTGGTATATCGCAGTAAGGTGGTAGCAGTCTTTACATATTCATCAGTTGTGTATTTGTGTGCATGCATGCTCTGACATATGTGTAGATCACAGGACAACTTGCAGGATTCAGTTCTCCCCCACTACTGTGTGGGTTCTGCAGATCAAACTCAGCTCATCAGTCTTAGCTATAAGCAGGCTGGTGCCTTTAACAGCTCTCTAGTCCTTGGTGTATTTTCTTTTTAAAACAGAGATACAACTACATAAAAAGGACACACTGTATCTTGAGTGGTCCTTCATGCAACAGTGACTAAGTAGACATCGAGGTTTTATTTTTAATAATGACTTTTACCTTTGTAATTTTTTTTCTTAGTTTGGGATAGACCTTTATTGAGCTTATCCACCAGAGTGGAAATAATGTCTGTACAAAACAAAATGTTTGTTACTATAACTTCTGCATCACAATTAAAATCCAAACAGTTTTTTTTAAGTCAACTCAATCAAAACCCACTACTTCAGAATCAATAGCTTCTTTGAAGCCACAGTAACACTTAAATATGGTTAAGACTAGAACGCAGAAATTTGATTGGCTGGAAAGCTAACTAAGCCTCCAATTTGCTCAAATAGAATTACAAAAGGCAAAATTGTATGTTTCACAGAGATGCAGTCCACTGGAATCACTGACAGTGGACAGCTGTTAAAAATATTTAGAGTCCTGAGATAATAAGGAATCCAGGCATCCTTAGACAGTCTTCTGTTGTCCTTTCTTCCCAGAGATTTGTGAATGCATGGGAAGATACCACCACCAGCAATTGTAGCCTTGATCAGGGAGTCCAATTCTTCATCCCCATGAATAGCAAGTTGCCAATGACGAGGGGTAATACGCTTTACCTTTAAGTCTTTTGGTGTATTTCCTGCCAGCTCTAGTACCTCTGTGGTGAGGTACTTCAGGATAGTTGCGCTGTACACAGCGGCGGTTGTGCCCACATGTCCGTGGCTGATTATCCTAGATTTAGGTGTAGATGAATAAAGCCCGCAGGGCACTGCAAGCAGGCTCGCTGCGAGCAGGAAATCGCCTTTGCCTTGGCCTTTCCGGAGTTCTTTCCACCCTTACCACCAGCCATCTCAGATGGTGCTGAAGATCCGACAGCACAGCGAGATCCTGGCGCCCACTCCTCCGCTGTACCACGATTCAAACTGAGCCTTACCTTTGTAAATCTGAGATTATTTAAGTTTTGTAAAAAGTAAGAAGGTAGTTAAAAATCTAACCGTAATCAGTCAGCTTGAAAGACTGTCAGATGTGTGTTTCTTTTTTTCAGATTTTTGGGGGGCGGTTGTTTGTATGCATGTTTTGGCTATGTGTGTGTATGTGTGCCATGTTCCTGCTTGGTTCCTATAGAGGCCAGAAGAGGGTACTATATCCCTTGATCTAGAGTTATGGACAGTTATGAGTCACCATGTGGGTACTGGGAATTGATCTTGGATCCTCTGCAAGAACAAAGTGTTGTTAACTGCTGAATCATCTCTCCAGCACCAGATATGTGTTTCTCTTTTGGCTAATAATTTCATTTCATTGACCAAATAGTTAATGTTATTTTCAAGCACATATGTTTATTAAGACATGTGGATGGGGAAGCCAAAAGACAACCTTATACGCTATCACTCACCATGTATCTTGGCTAAGTGCCCTGGGTCTTACAGAGGAATGTGCCTGTGTCTACCGCCCAGCACCAGGGTTATATGTGTGTTCCAACACACTTCCTCAGGTTTGTACAGCAGGGCTTTTACTCACTGAGCATCTCCCCAGCCTGAACTGTCAGATTTTGTAAGAAGTAATTCTCTCAGTTCTCTCAAAGCCACGACACTTGCTCTATTCATATTTCCTTCCAGGAATACTTCGTACATGTAGAAAGTTAGAGAATAGTTTCAGAAAGAAGTGTCATTTAGTTACATTAAAATTCAAGTACCTACTAGTATACAGTACTACTTAAAAATATAAAACAATCTGTTTGTCCTCCAAATTTTCTTCATTTCCCAATTTTCTTTTTTCTTCATTCTTCTTCACACCTGAAATATTTTAAGTGAACCTAACTGTATAAAACAGACGTAGTTTTAAAACAATGGACGTAAAACACTGAAAGATTATTTTTAAAAGCACAGACAAGTTGGATTTCAGGAGTTTCTCTTTTCCATTGAACAGCAAGTATTAAAAGGAGAGGATGTGGGGTGCATTGGCTTTCCGTCTGCAGACCAGTGCTCGTGTGGTGTACGTTGTGACTGCTGTTGCAGCTCACTCATTCTACGACAGCAGTCAGTGCTGCCTTTGCAGCAGGGCCAGCTCGGGCAACTGTGGTTTCTAGGTTCACGTTTTAGCAATGATTCCCGGCATCTACTTTTCATATGTTGCAGGGAGCCCGAGGTCATACCAACAATGGGTGCTTACAGTCAAGGTAAGCATAAGCTTTGGCTATCGTCTTCTTTCCTCTAGAAAATACAGAGAAAGGTTCAGAGAGAGTATTCCTAACACTTACACTGTTTAATTTGAAATGTGTATATTTCACTGGACTTTGATTATTTTTTGTTTATTGTTTGTTGATAATTATAGAGGAAATTTTAAAATGAAAATATTTGATTCAGAGGTTCTAACAGCTTGACACAGTTGGGAGGAGGGAGCCTCAAAGGAGGAAATGCTTCTATAATATTGGCCTGTGGGCATGTCTGTGGGACATTTTCTTGATTGGTGATTGATGTGCCAGCCCGCTGTTGGCAGTGCCACCCTGGGCAGGTGATCTTAGGAGGGTCAAGAAAGGCCTCTGAATATGGCCTTGGAAGGGAGCCAGTGAGCAACAGTCCTCCCTTCAGTGCCCTGCTTGAGATCCTGGCCTGGCTGCCTTTGATGAGGGACTCTAACCTGTATGATGTAATAAATCCTTTTCTCTAGAAGTCGGTATTTGTCAGTATCACAGCAACAGAAAGCAAACAAAGGACTAAGGTGCCGTGGGGGGATTGGATTTCATTGGATATCAGTTTTGTTAGTATGTTTTTTAACATGAAAAGTCTTTACTGCCCAATAGCAAACTAGCTGATAAATAAACATCATATTCCTTTTACTGAGAAACATTAAATCTATATCCAGTATTGTCCACATTACTATCCAATCTTCAGTAATGAAATAAATGACTCTTAACTGATGCTTTACACCAACTAAAAGAACAGAGTAGAATATTGAGACCCTGTTTTAAATTAGTAGAAGACATAAACTCTTAAAAACACTGGACATAATTGTATGGGTCCTTCACTTACTATTATTTTTCCGTACTGCTGACAATGCTTCATTTTCAGGACAATTTGTCCACAAGTATTTAAAAACACTCCTCTTCTTTCAGAAAGGTGGTGCATTGCTCAACACAGCGGTGACCAAAGCAACCCCTGCTGTGCGGACCGCGTACAAATTCGTAAGTTTCCTCTCGGAATTTCAGACTTCTGCTGATAAAATTACACCTATGTCTAGAAGGTAGACATGTAAATTCAAAGTGTTTTCTGTTTATCCATTTGAGGAAGAATGTTCACATGCTTGCCAATGATCAAGGTGACCCCGCTTGTGTGTGTACATGTCCATAGACAAGTGTTAGGGTTAGGGTTAGGATTAGTCTCAATTCTGTGTCATCAAGATCCATTTGGTGCATGTGTGTGTTTGTGTGTATGTGTATAAGTGGGTGCTCGCACTTTGGTGTGCTTCTGGTTTTTTTTTTAGTGGAATTTTCTTAAGGTTAGTCTATAATTACTTTCTATATTCTTTTTAGAGAATTTCATATATGACTACTGTATTTACATTGCTCTCCTCTGTCTCTATCTAGTTCCTTAGTATCTCTTCCACCCTCAAATTGATGTCCTATTTTAAATTATAATTATTACATATGTTTGTATGTAAGTTTGTTTAAGTACATATGTAAATAAGCTTATTATGTATGTAAGTTATAAAAATAACCTGCTGAGTTCATTTAGTGTTGCTCATGTGTTTAGGGATGATCTCTTGGGGTTGGTTAACCTATCAGGCAACTCATTCTTGGAGAAGACAGATTTTCTCACTCTTAGCTGCTATTAATGGCTAGTAGCTCTCTTTCTAGGAGCTCTCTTTCTAGGAAGCATTGATGTGCCTTGTGAGAATGTCCCCATCCACATGGCACATCAATTGGTATAGTCACTTTTTAGGTCTTGTTTAGGCAACTGTGTTGTTGAGATTTCCTGGGTGCATATTCCCTGATGTATATAGAAAATACTATCTTGCAGACATCCTGCCCTAGTCCTCTGACCCTTGCAATATTTCCGTGATACTCCACGAGCCTTGGCTATAGGGGTTGAGCTGTAGATTTGTCAGTGGGGCTGGGCCCTCCACTGTCGGCTATTCTATACGTTTTGACCAGTTGTGACTTTCACTTTAAACAGGTCTCCCACTGGAGCCTGGAACTCACCATTGGGCCAGGTCAGGTGTCTGGCCAGGGAACCTTGTGAATTTGCCTGTCAGTGTCCACCTTCCCAACTGTAATCTCACAAGCCTCATGTCCCGCCTTTTACTTTGGTCTTGTGATTGAATACAGGTCGTCACCCCTGTGTGGCAAGCACTTTTATCATTAAAATAATATTGTATAGAAAGATGTTTCCTTTATGCAATCTAGAAGTATTCTTGTTTTATTTAAAAGTTAGTAACAAAATTGTTTAGCAAATTTTTTATTAAAACTGTTTATTTTTAAATTCAAATTAGAAACAAGCTTGCTTCCCATGGCAGTCCCAGCTCACTCTCTCTCCTCCACACCCACTCCCTCCCAGCCCCCATCCCCCACCCAATCCCCACTTGTGTAGCAAATTTTGAAGCAGTCCACAATGAGATGCTAGTTTGAAAATTGGGTTAATCCCTACAATATGTTTTAAATGTTCCTAATTTTCTTGAGGAGAAAATGATCAGAACAATGTGTGGTAACCTGTTTCCTAGAAGATGCTTTAAGTTTCCATGTTTCTTCAGAGATGCTTTTCAGCTCAGAGAATAACAGTGACAATAGCAGCAATAAACAATGAATGAAACATTCACTTTAATGCAACAACTAGGTCAGAGGGAGGCCAAGCTCCCCTGTGTCCTGTTACAGTTTCTCTCATCCCTCACAGGCTAGCATATCTCTAAGATCAATTTGCTGCTCCTTCTTGCTTGAGTTCTAATTTGTTCTCTGACTTCCTGTCCTTGCTCATGCTGTCCCTACTACTGGGAACATTGGTTTATTCCTTAACAATGACACCACTTGAGCTCTGGGATTTAGTTCAGGTCCATGCTTCACCTAGTTTCCTTCCCAGTCACCCCCCTCACCCCAGGGAAGATATAGCCCTTCCCTTACTCCTGTATGAACTGCAGGATTTGCTTCACCATTTTCCTCATCTGAACATTGTTGATCGCAAGATGATGAGCCCCATGAGGAACAAAGTAATGACTTTTAAAAATTAATGGTTATACAAATTCTGTGTTTCTGAAAGCTTATAGACAGTTGTGATTTGATAAGAATTTGTCTTCAAAAGCTTTCTTGATAAATACTTGTATGATTCACATAATAATAAGCTTCAATAAATGTTTATTACTAGTAATCTTGACTTAAAATTCTGGTATAAATGTAACCACCATTTGTGTTGTAAATAAATCTTTGGAAAATTACATTTTATAGCAGGAGGCTAATCTACAGAGTTGCTTCAAAAACAATTCTGATGTTCTGAATTGTCTAAATACTCTAGTAACGTAAACTGTAAAAAAGTAGTAGTTTGCCCTAGAAAGGGAAGCCTTTAACTTTGGTTTGGTTTTCTTATAACTTTGCAGGGAAACCTCTTTGTGTCCTCCACGCTCCCAGGATGCTGGTGTCCGTGTAGATCTAAAGGAGCGTTTCCCACAATGCAATGGCACTGCCTCTGAGAACAAATTCACACTGAGTTTCCTTTTTCACCAGCAAATCTCTCAATTCTTTAAAAGCAGCAGCAGCACCAACAAACCAGCCACCACTGGCCCTCGTGATGAATGAACTCCTAATAAGTGTCTTTAGGATGACCTGTTCTTCCTATCGTGTTCCTCTCTGCTTCCACTAGTAATAATAAAGCAAACATGTTTGATGTCATTGTGGAAAATCTGATCACTTGATTCATAGATTGAACCTTCTCTGCAAGGCTGTAATATCTTTACAATCTAAAAATTCTACTCCTGGAAGACTGTTTCTTCAAGAAATTACTGGCAAATTCAGGTTTTTAGAATATTTCCTTTATCTTGTGATCATATCATATGAATCAAGAGGTTTGAAGAACATGAATGAATCATTTTGTGTCATATTTTTACCCAAAGCTGGAATGGGCCATACTTCGAAATGTATATGTTGAAATTTCTTCTTTTACATTAACTTGCAACAAATAAAGTTCCTCATCTTTCTTATATGGATATGACAGTATTTGTTTACCTATACTCCTCTATAAATGGCTATTTTTTCAAAACTAGGAGACATGTTTTAGTTATTTATTAAACAAATTATTTGATTGCCCACTAGCTAGAGTCATTTGGGAAGGAGAACTTCAGTTGGAAAAAAATGTCCACCAGATTGGCCAGCAGGCAAGCCTGAAACACGTTTTCTTGATTGATTATTTATATAAAAGGGCCCAGGCGATGGTGTTCAGTGTACCCGGGGCAGGTAGTTCTGGATGGTATAAGAAAGCAGACTGAACAAGCCATGAAGAGCAGCCAGCCAGCAGCAGCCTTTCATGGCCTCAGTATCATTTCCTGCCTTCAGTGTCCTGCTTTGCCTGAATTCCTTCCCTGACTTCCCTAGTTGATAAACTACAAGCTATAAGATGAAGTAAACCCTTTCCTCCCTAAGTTGCTTTTGGTCATGGTGTTTACCACAGCAGTAGAAACACTAAGACACCCACTGTGAGATAGGCTCACCTTGAGCTAGAGTGACGAACATGAAAGGTACTGTTAAGAGAGACACTGTGAGTGGTGTTATGTCACAGCCCAATTGTCACTGTCTGTGCTTTCATTAAAGTGAATTCTATTTTTTTCTTGCAGTTATAAGGTTTTCTATACTACAGCTGGTTGAGAAATTTTCTAAGCTCACCAAATTTGTTCTTTTTCATGAATATGGGAACCATAATTAAAATTAAGAGACAACAAACACTCAATTATAAACAAAAGAAGTACAACCAGACAAAGTGCATGATTAATCTGGCTAAGTGGTCTAAGTATCTTTTTTGCTAGGTCATTTTATTACTTAAACACGCAATTTTGTGTGGCTAAGCTACAAGGTAGATGAAACCTTGCTCCATCTTCCAGGTCGACGTTAGAATTATCCGGTAGGTAAATGTGGAAAATGTGGAAGAAGAGGTCAACACTAGATTCAACTTTACATAATAAGGACAGTCAGGAAACAGTGTGATGGGTGCCTTAGGAAATAGTTGAGCCAACTAGAATAGTATGGGCAAAGCAATGCTGACCTCAAATTCTAAGAGACAATAAGAAGAAAAGCATTTTTCCTTGATAACTACATACTTTAACCTATCACAGCATAGGGATGAATATAGGACCCTTTGGTTCAGTTGCTTTACAAATAAAGTAATAAATGAAATATCTTTATTGATTCTAAACAATTATAAAAACAGAAACAAAAAACCCAGAGTGTTAACACACACACTAGTGTTAAATGTATTTCAGTTTGTTTTAAATAATATAAAAATAATTGTTGCATTCATTTCAGAGCATTGCTTGAGTGCTTATTTGTATGTCACTGGTCTTCTGGATGTTACACTTATTAAGGGGGAACTTGAGAGTCGTGTATTGACTCCCCTTAAAAACAGCTTAGGCAGCAGCACAGTTAGTGGGGGCAAGGGCTTTGGGGCTCATATACAGACTGTGTATCTGTAGACAAGACTTTAGCCACTCTTTTGGTGAGGCTTAAAACACAGGTGTATTTTACAAACACTGTTTTCTCCTTCATTTTTGAAAAGGGAACCAGTTAGACTTCGTAACAAAATATAACCCATATTTGAATCTAGACACTGTCCTTTTTTATAAGACGTCTTAATAGCAGCATAATCTTGGAATTGTGTCAATGAACAATGCAGTGTATCTGAGCAGCTAGCACACAGTCAGGAAACAAAAGCAACGAGGCTTCCCTTCCTCTGTTTTTATGACAAACACTGTGAGTAGAAATCTCCAGGGCAACAAAGTCCCAGTTGTCTTAAGTTGGGCCCCACAAATTTGCAGCGAGACTGGAGATACTCAACCATGAGGCCAAATCCTAGAGATGTGTGAGGACAGTGTGAGACTTTTCAGTGACTTCTAATTTTTATTGGAAAATCTATGTGTGAACTACCACACCATTAAGATGCCCATGCTAGTAAATACCTGTTTGAAAAAGCACTTTAATAACACTCTCTAAATTACTTGAATTCCTTGATGCTTAAATATTTGCCCAAATAACTTGATGCTGTGATTTATTTTGTCTGTTTCTTGTTGGTCACAATTTTAAATTAATGATGGGCATTACTCCCAATTGATTCCAGGTTGAATGTTAACCTTTGTGTGTGTGTGTGTGTGTGTGTGTGTGTGTGTGTGTGTATGTGTGTGTGTGTGTGTGTGTTTAAACCAACAATTTAGGCTTAATAAAATAGTAATTAAATAGCATTCCTTGAAATAGTTTTGGGGTATAATTAGTTTCTTAGAAATATGGATAGTTAGCAATGCTTATTAGAGATAAGTCATGTCTATGTGTGTGTATATATATGTGTGTGTGTGTATGTATGTATTATATATATATATTTACCTAGCATACTAAATATATATAGAGAGAAATGGTAATAGAAGCATGTGAAGCTAGATACATTTACTCTTATTTTCTAGGCAAAGAGTCACGCCAGACTGGGACTAAGAGAGGTAAAGAGTAAGCTGAAACACAAGGTGTGTCTTCTTGATCTTCTTACATCACCCTGATTTTATATGACTTTGCATCCCCTGCTCTATAAACCTTGTGAGATTTATGTTTTAATGTCTTTTGAAATGTGCTTTTCCTTTTGTTCAAGAATGTATTTTTTATAACAAGCCCTCTGGCACCTAACTCTCTGCTATTCTATACGCATCCACTGAATAATCTCTTTATTGTTTCATATTTTATCACAGGATGTGGAGATCTTCAAAGATACTCTTAATAGGATATATGTTTCCATAAAATCGATTGCCTTTATAGTATTATTGAAGATCTTGCTTCAAGCTTATCATTTTTAAGAAAGTATCTTTGGGTTGGAATGCCACCCTTTGGTTTTATAGGTTCATTTCAATGGTAGTTATTATATTGAAGAATGCTCCTAATTCATAAAATATCACATGTGATAATTGGATTTTGAACCTATGAGTAATGAAGGTATCGTTCAAATGTTTATACATCTATATTTGTATGTTTGGTTTGATTATACATTACATCTTTGCAATTTTATTAAAAATAGTGTTTTGAATTTTTACTTTTGAAGAAAACAAACTACTTAAAATCTTCCTTTGTAGTAATGGTGAAAATTTATCCTTATAAATTGTATTTCAACTAGTCAAAGTGTGGATTATATTTTAAATTATTAAATCACACCATAGAAAAATTATTGTTTCTTCCTTGGAAGATTCTTAAAAATTATAGTTAAAGCATTATTTTTTTCTTTTCATGTTTAGCAGATACTTTATTAATCAAATAACTTTAGTTATAAAGTAGATTACTATAAAACCATTTTACTTTTCTTCACGTGTAGGACAATGAGGAGGATTATGGGACCTGTTCTGGCTTGGTACAATATACACCAGTTTACACATTACACAATGAAAAGGGAGGAAACACAGAAAAGTATAAGCTTTCCCAGGTAAGGATGCTTGCCCTTCGCGCCCCCATTTTCAGGTTATGTATTTTAATAAATTCTTTATGAGTATCTTGGACCATTAATATTTCTCTTATAAAAAATTTAGAATTTTTGATAAAGGGGAGAACAGTGGATTCCGGACCATCAGTGGAGAATGAGGTATCCTTGATATGAAAATTCCACCTTGATACAGACTTGGAATGCCCTACACATAATCTCATATACCAGGTCACACTCAGAGCATTAGCTTATCACAATACTACTAAAATATTAACTACATTTACCATTGGATTCTGTGAGTGAGCTCTCTGAGAAATTTGGTGTTAGGGCAATTCATATCTACAGGATATCTCAGTATGTACAGATACCGTAGCATCCAAAAGGTTTAAAATATGAGACACCACTGTTCCCAAGCCTTTTGCATAAAGGATACCTAACTTGTATTTTATCATGTCTTCAAAGAGGTCATGGACCAGTTAGTCTGAAAGATGGTTAAGTCTGTGGTTACGTGAATAATGAACAATGTGACAGGGAACAACATTAATAGATTCCCTTTACTACAAATATAAAATGAGACCGGACATCCAGTCATTAAGACAGTGTGTAGAAATCCAAGGATGAGTTGCTATACAGATGATCCTCAGCTTAATATGGGAGCCTCCTGATGGAGCCATCAGAAGTTGTTGGTATTGTAACTGAAAATGCATTGAAGATACTTAATTTATTGAACATCATACCTAGCAGTAGTATACACTGTAGTTCACCTATATGATAGCATTTGTGATAGGAAGCTCTGAGTCCCTGCACTGCTCAGGACCATGGAAGAGTACTGCATCATTATCACTAGCTAGGAAAAATTGTAAAGTTAAAAGATCATTTTTACTTAAAGTATATTGCTTTTCTCCTTGGTAAACTTAAGAAGTCATGAAGCCAAACCATTCATAACTTGAGAACTGTATGCCTGTTTTTTCTAAACCTAGATATTTTATTTGTTATTTAAAACTTCCATTCAAATGTTGATATTACTAAGACTATTGTCCCATATGGCAGTGTTTAGAAAAATACAATGCAATCTTGTATTTTGTATTTAGAATAGACTTCTAAGGGTTTTAACCAACTGAACCTTGCATGTCAAATCGCAGTGATTAGGGCCTTTTAGAAATCAGTGTTGACTCCAGAGTGCCTATAAAGCTTCCTTTATGACAGTGCCAAGGTTCACAACCAGGATGGTCATAATATTGATCTGTGGCTCATAAGTCGTTAGAGGCAGAAAAGGACCTGCACCTTAAGAAAGAAAGGAATTATTTGGTTCACAATTTGCGGGTACAGTCCACTGGGGCAGGAAAAGATGGATGGCAGCTGTTTGGGGCAGTTGGTCACATTCCATGCACTGCGGGACAACAGAATGAAAAATATTCCGTAGTTAGATTTTCTTTGGGCCAATAGCTCACAAGTAAGAGCACAAGAGACTTCGCATTAGTCATGAAAGCTTGGCCTGCACTTAGGCTTGTCGCATTTGCTCTTGTAACTGAAATTAACCTATTTTTACTAATCTACATTTTACCATGTGGCTGTTACATTTCTTTCATCTTGCACCTCCTGTTTTCTCCCGTGTCTCCTGGCATTTCCTGACATCTCTAGATCCCTCCTCCTTTTTCTCTCTGCCGAGTAGTCCCACCTATACCTCCTATTGGTCACTCAGCTTTGATTACACCAATCACAACAATACACCTTTACAGAGTGTAAATATCCCACAACAGAACACTGCTACTCAACTTTGTTTTTCCTTTCTAGTTTAGTCTGGGATCATAGCTCATTGCTTGGTGTTACTCACTTTTCTAGAAAAGCTAACATACATTCATACATAATACATACATACATACATACCCACAGACATGTCCAAAAGTTATTTCCATGGGATTCTAAGTATCATCATTGGAGAAATCAAGATGAACCATTTCAACTCCAGATTATGTCATCTTGATACCTAATCATGTCACTTTAAAACCATGCTTCCGCCTTTTGTCCCTGTAGGCTCATGGCTGTCCCATAATCCAAAATGCATTCAGTACAGCTTCAAAAATGCATATAGTCTAAGTAGCCCTATGCCATTAAAAACTCCAAAGTCCAACTCCCAACTTAGACTCAAGGCAATCTCTTAACTAATGTACTTCTAATATACAATGGCACAGAATACACATTCCTAATCCATAAAGGAAGAATGATGGATTACTAATGACCTGGCCCAAGCAAGGCGGAAATCCATTAAGCAAACATTAAATCCTCTAGCATAATGCCCTGTCTCTGGACTCACAATAGAATCGTATGGGTAAAGACTTGAGTAGCCCCTTCCCTCTAGGTTTGCAACGGGGGCACATGTACGGACCAGCTGCAGTACTGAACTTCAAATTTCTTCAGCGAATTTCTCAGGCTCTTGGCATCTTCAAAATCATGGAGTCCCCATTGCAATTTATACTTTCTTAGTTTCATTAAGTAACTCCTTAGGATATCTTTACAGGGACTGCGACCATGCCACACACAGCCTCTCTTCAGCAGCTCTCCAGAACTTTGGTGTAAGACTATCCTGACACCCTTATTCCTCCATCTTTTATACTTGTAAAACCAGCACAGAGTGAACCAAGCTGCCAAGTTCACACAGCAACTGTGTGTGGAACCTAGCTAGCTCTCATGGGCCACAATGGTATCAGCATCTGTGTGCTGCTGACCCTGGGGAAACACACCCCTAGGTAGTTCCTTAGATCACAGAACCCCTTTAGTGACATTCTCAGTTTAGTCTCTGCTTTCATCTAGATGTGCATTTGCACAAGGAGTCTGTGACAGGTTAGGTCTTGCCCTCCAAACACTTTCACTGTCCCAGTGTAGAGTTCAGGCCTCGCTTCAGGTCGCTGATAAGTGTAGCCGTCTCAGCTGTCTTTGAACCTGCCTCCTCGTAAGGTGAAACTTGCTGCTGATGCTCTTCTTCTAACCACACTGCTCGTCTTCTGTCTTGCTCAACTCCACTGCTTGCTCTCACTCCCCGAAGATGAGACAGAAGAAAGCAGTCCGCAGTCTGAGTGTTTTCCTGCCTTGGCGTTTTCTCCACCACGCACATTAGTCCATTTTTCTGTGTGCACTTTCACTCAAGTGTTCAGGAAACAGAGTGCAGCCAGACTCTTGATGTCATTGCCACATAAACAGATGCTCTCCCACATCCCATCAGAGCTCTTCTCTCTGAAATTTTCTCAACGAATCCTCCATGGCCACATTTTTGTGAGCACTCCTATCTTCCAAAGTCTAATCAGAATGGCCTGTTAGTCTCTGCTTCCAGCCTTCCAGGGCATCTCCACCCAAAGTTTCACATTCTTTCTATAAAACTGTCCCAAATACTTATGAACCATATTCAGGCTTACCACAGCAATGACACAGCTACCTGCACCAATTTATTATTAGTCACTTGTAGTTTTAGGACATAACACCTGACCAAATCAGTTTAAGGAAGGGAGGGTTAATTTTTGTTTATTCATGGGTTGAGGATGTAGACCGAATGGAGGGAAAGCTGTGGAATTTAAGGCATCTGGCCACATTGCATCCACAGTCGGGAAGTGAGTGAAATGAATGAATGCTTCTCCCTTTTTATTCATTTTGGAACCTCAGACTGTGGAGTGGTATTGCCCCCACTTGCAATTAACCCAGTTAATCTAGAAAATGCTTACACACATGCAATGATGATTTAAACCCCATCAAACTAACAGTCAGCATTAATATCAGAGCACTGTCAAGCGTTCATAGTCATAAAGTGTGTTGTGTGTCTGAGATTCAGCCAGAGTAGTACGACTATAACAGAGTACTTGAGCTTGAGTGACTGTGGGGAATAGAAAGGTATTTCTTAAATGTCTCATAAAGACCTTCCTGCTACCTTATCACATGGCGGAAGGACAAGACAGCAAGACATGGGGGTGGGAGCTGTGGCTTTAGCGTGAGCTGCGGTAGGAACATTGAGCCTCAGCTCTCTTCAGAGAATGAGGAGGCTGTTACGGCAGACTAAAGCTGTAGGCCTTTATGAAGAAGGCCTTTGTCCAGGGTCTTTCCTAGGTACCAGCCATGTACAAAAGGAAACACAGAGATATTCTGGACTCCTGGTACTACTTTTGATGCAAACTATTTTTTCTCTTTTTCCTTTTGTTAAGCTTATTTTTCATACACTATTATTAGTTTCTGGATGTTATTACCAAATTCTGATTGCGACCCAAGCCTGTCTATGAATGAAGTCATCACATGTGGAGAGAGCTGCTAGTGCTGCCACTAAGTAAATCACTTCTGTGTAAACAAGTTGGTCTCCTATGTGCTTGCTTCTTGACTGCTCTCAAGCTGTAGCATTTTAAATCACTTTTGAGTACTTAAATGATGTTTACCGTAGAAAACAGTTTTGATTTTTATGGGGAAAAACAAATCTTTGTTTTCAATAGGATACCTTAAGTTAGAAACATTTTAATCACAGGAATGTTTTTCCCAATATGAGAACTCCTCATATCTTAATATTAAATTTTCTCTTTCATAGGGGATATAACATTTCTATTTTAATTTACTAATTTCTGTTTTTGCATGTTGCATTTTAATTTCTATAAATGGGTTTTTAAATTGTATATGCTTAAGATCTACAACATGTTTTTATACACATGACGAAATTATTACATTTAAAGCAGTTAACATATTTGTCACATTCACAGGTAACTTCGTATGGTGCATGGAGTAGATTAGACCTATGCTTAGCAATTTCCCAATATACCATGCATTGCCATTAACCACGATTCTTCCCCAGTGCATCTGATGGAGAAATTGGTACAGAGCAGACTCAACTTGATTTGAGAAAGGAACTTGCTTTTGACATTTAGTAAATAACATATCCCTTTGTCTTGCTTTCTGTATTTTTAATTAATAATATTGCACATCATTTTCCCAGGATACTGTAGGAATTATAGATAATGTGAGTAAAACATCTTCAT